GATAAGTTTTTTCAATAAATACATACCTTGACAAGATTTTGAAGTAGTTCAAAATGGAACAGTCAAAGAAAGAGTTTCTTGCCTATGTTACAAGGTGTGAAATTGAGTAAGACTCAAAAGCCCGACCACGGCAGAAGATAGAAAGAGAATGAATGTCATTCCCTATGCCTTGGTCATAGGTTCTATAAAATATGCCATGCTGTATACCAGATCTATTGTATGCCCTACCACTGAGTTTGGCAAGGGAGTACGATAGTGATCTAGGAGTAGATCACTTGACAGCGGTCAAAATTATCCTTAGTGGAATAAGGATATGTTTCTCGATTATGGAAGTGAAAAAAGGTTCGTCGTAAAGGGTTACGCCGATGCAAGTTTTGACACTAATCTAGATGACTCTAAGTCTCGGTCTAGATACATATTGAAAGTGGGAGCAATTAGCTAGAGTAGCTCCATGCAGAGCATTGTTGACATAGAAATTTGCAAAATACATGCGGATCTGAATGTGGCAGACCCGTTGACTAAGATTCTCTCACAAGCAAAACATGATCACACCTTAGTACTCTTTGGGTGTTAATCACATAGCGATGTGAACTAGATTACTGAATCTAGTAAACCCTTTGGGTGTTGGTCACATGGCGATGTGAACTATGGGTGTTAATCACATGATGATGTGAACTATCGATGTTAATCACATGGTGATGTGATCTAGATTATTGACTCTAGTGCAAGTGGGAGACTGAAGGAAATATGCCCTAGAGGCAATAATAAAGTTATTATTTATTTCCTTATATCATGATAAATGTTTATTATTCATGCTAGAATTGTATTAACCGGAAACATAATACATGTGTGAATACATAGACAAACAGAGTGTCACTAGTATGCCTCTACTTGACTAGCTCGTTAATCAAAGATGGTTATGTTTCCTAACCATGGACAAAGAGTTGTTATTTGATTAACGGGATCACATCATTATTTGAATGATCTGATTGACATGACCCATTCCATTAGCTTAGCACCCGATCGTTTAGTATGTTGCTATTGCTTTCTTCATGACTTATACATGTTCCTATGACTATGAGATTATGCAACTCCCGTTTGCCAGAGGAACACTTTGTGTGCTACCAAACGTCACAACGTAACTGGGTGATTATAAAGGTGCTCTATAGGTGTCTCCAAAGGTACATGTTGGGTTGGCGTATTTCGAGATTAGGATTTGTCACTCCGATTGTCGAAGAGGTATCTCTGGGCCCTCTCGGTAATACACATCACTGAAGCCTTGCAAGCATTGCAACTAATGAGTTAGTTGCGGGATGATGTATTACGGAACGAGTAAAGAGACTTGCCGGTAACGAGATTGAACTAGGTATTGAGATACCGACGATCGAATCTCGGGCAAGTAACATACCGATGACAAAGGGAACAACGTATGTTGTTATGCGGTCTGACCGATAAAGATCTTCGTAGAATATGTAGGATCCAATATGGGCATCCAGGTCCCGCTATTGGTTATTGACCGGAAACGTGTCTCGGTTATGTCTACATTGTTCTCGAACCCGTAGGGTCCGCACGCTTAAGGTTTCGATGACAGTTATATTATGCGTTTATGAGTTTTGATGTACCGAAGGAGTTCGGAGTCCCGGATGAGATCGGGGACATGACGAGGAGTCTCGAAATGGTCGAGACGTAAAGATCGATATATTGGACGACTATATTCGGACATCGGAAAGGTTCCAAGTGATTCAGGTATTTTTCGGAGTACCGGGTAGTTACGGGAGAAGCAATGGGCCTTGATGGGCTTTAGTGGGAAGAGGAAAAAGGGCCAAGGGGCTGCTGCGCCCCCCCTCCCCTCTAGTCCGAATTGGACTAGGGAAAAGGGGGCCGGCCACCTTTCCTTCTCCTCCACTTCCTTCTCCCTTCCTCCCCTCTTGGTGGACTCCTACTAGGACTTGGAGTCCTAGTAGGACTCCACATCCTGGCCGCACCAAGCCTTGACCGGCCTCCTCCTCCTCCATCCTTTATATACTGAGGCAAGGGGCACCCCATAGAGACACAAGTTGATCCACGTGATCTTATTCTTAGCCGTGTGCGGCGCCCCCAGCCACCATAGTCCTCGATAATATTGTAGCGGTGCTTAGGCGAAGCCCTGCGACAGTAGTACATCAAGATCGTCACCACGCCGTCGTGCTGACGGAACTCTTCCCCGACACTTTGCTGGATCGGAGTCCGGGGATCGTCATCGAGCTGTACGTGTGCTAAAACTCGGAGGTGCCGTAGTTTCGGTGCTTGATCGGTCGGGCCGTGAAGACGTACGACTACATCAACCAAACGCTTCCGTTATCGATCTACAAGGGTACGTAGATCACACTCTCCCCTCGTTGCTATGCATCACATGATCTTGCGTGTGCGTAGGAAATTTTTTGAAATTACTACATTCCCCAACACGATTGCCGCGACTTGTGGGGCTGCCGACTGGCGGGCCACGACATGCCTCACCCACCGCTGAAGTCTTGACCGACCGGAGCGCTTGCGCTGGTGGGAGACAGGGCGGGGAGACGACGCAGGGGCCGACCGATACTGGGTCGATGGCTGCCGCAGGAGGACGCCACGAATGCATGCGCGGAAGTGCGTCGCACCGCGGACGGGGAGCGCGTCGATGTCGAGTGGTGCCTCCTTTAGCCAGGCGGAGTCATCGACGATGAAGGAGGATCTCGCGGTCCTCCAGCAAAACTCCGCAAGAAAACATGATCAAAGGGATCGGAAAAGATCGCAACTTCTCCAACTAAGCGCTAAGATTCCTGCCCCATGGTGGGCGCCAACTGTCGTGGTTTTAACTCTGACAGTGATGTAGGGGGGTGAATATGGAGAGGCTAGATCTTAACTATTGGGAAGTTGTTACACGCGAGGTTTACGAGTTTAGGCCCTTCTCAGAGGAAGTAATAGCCCTACGTCTCGGAGCCCGGAGGCGGTCGACTGGATTATGCGTGTATGGATTACAGGGGTGCGAACCCTTCATACTGAGGAGGGGGGTGGCTTATATAGAGTTCGCCGGCCCCCTCCTGCCCTCAGTAATGCAGGGTTTAAGGTACATTTAAGGTTGGGCGTTACTGGTAACACCCCTAATAAAGTGCTATAATGATCATAAAGACTACTTAACAGCCGACCGTTTGCCTGCGGAGTGACTTTAGGTCTCCTGGCAGTCGAGTGGTTGGCTTCATGGTCGAGTGATAGCTTCTTGGTCGAGTGTCTTGAACCCGTCGAGTGGGATATCTTCAAGTCGATTGAAAGGTGACTTCTTCTAGGGATGTCCTTGGGTAGGGCTCTTTGGACGGGTCCGTGCCCCTACCCTAGGTACATAGCTTCATCAACTGGCATATCCGGATTCTTACTCCATTTAAACACCTCACTTCCAACACTGCACAATAGCGACAAAGGAATCATATCTCAGTTCAAATGCAAAATTGATGACACGGAGTGATGCTGACGAAAAATTAACAAGACAGCCATCACTCTAAATTATTTTTTGCACCATTTCGATACGTAGTCGATGGTTTTGATGGAAAACCTACGGTGGCGGGGGTCAATGTCACGCGAGAAGTCTGCGACTGACAGTTCTCGCCGGCGGCGAAGCTGCAATGCAATGCGATGTGGTGCCCCAACCTGCTCATCTTGACGGCGGCAGAAGCTTCAATGCAATGGGCTGTTTTGGTGTGTGGGAGATGACCCCGCTGATCTCGCCGACCGTTATCCTCTACAAGGTAACGATGGTACCTCGTCAGTGCGGTAGGCGGCAACACGGGACATGAGGGCGACTGCGATGGAGGGGTGCTGCATTGCTCACATAGTCTAGCTGTCAAATCGGACGGTTGCACAACGCCTCATCCAATGGCTCATGTCGGATGACGCGTGGCCATTGAATATTTTGTATATAATTGGAAAGCGCCACCAGCTCTAACTTATAGCCATGCTCGACAGCTTGAACTGCCTATGACTATCATGCATTCATACAATAATTAATCAGTTTGATTCCATCATGTGTTGCTATGACATCATATCCACGTGTAGCTACGATTTGCTCATATACTAGTATCATACTAGTGTATGAGTCCACAATGCCCAAAGAACAAGAAAAGTTCAATGAGGTGCAAATGCAAGAATTAAAGCGACGAGGACAAGTGCTAGGATATGATCCCGATAACTTAGTGCATGACACAATACTAGTACATTAATTATTTAATATGATACAATATCATATTGATATAACATTCTCTTTCCTCATTTAATTGTGTGTCGCCTCATCTAAAATGCCCGTGACCATATAAAAAGTGCCCATGCACTTAAAAAAATGGTTGTGTAAGAAAAATGTTATGGATTTCAAAAATCACCATTTTTTAAACGTGTTCATCTAATTCTAAGAAGTGTTCATGTGTTAAAAACTGTTTGTAGTCTGAATAGGTGCATGGTGTAGCTCGCGTAGGCCAACCCTCATGTAAGCTCAACTAGATTAGTTTTAAAAGTATTAAATTTTCGTTGGAGCGGTTCAATGATATAAGTTTGTCGTGCGGTGGCCAAAATCATTGCCTCCTAGTGGGCTATTGATTTAGCCGACGGGCCAAGTGTCAATACACAACAACTAGTAAATATTTAATAAAAAGGTGGGGTGTGACTAGCTCTCTTCCTACATCATTTGATTTCGTGCGGAGATTCGTGGTGACTCTTTTCTTTTTTTCAGTTGATTAAGCAAACCCGTAAGAAATCAAAATAAACAACTCGTATAAATCAGGATATTTGATAGATAATATATTCCAAAGCATCCATAGGTTCAAAATCCAAGAGGACTATCAACTGGACAAAACTTAGACTCCAATATATATGACGACGCTAGACGATTCAGCAAAATCCAAGATGACTTCAAACTAGGACAGAACTTAAAATCCAGTCTATATGGCTCCAGACGCATTTCCAATGTTTAAGAAGCATTCGCAAACTTGGACATAAACCTCTTCTTTTCCCTTAGCTGAAAGAGAAGGTAAGAAAAATCATTACTAGAACAAAAGTTGTTCAGTTTAAGTTATCATCTATATGTAATTATTTTGCACAACAACATTATACAAAGCTGACAATAGTAACCAAGAACAACTCTAAGTATGCAATGGTGACATATTGCTCAAAAGATTAAGACCGAACAAGATATTTAGTGTTATGATAACCAAGAACAGCTGAACAGGACAGATGTTAGCCTCTGTGTAAATGGGTAAAGTACTTCAATAACACAGGAAAATAAGGTTCTCTCACCTGATTGTTATGGCCACACTTCTTCTTACGGCAGTTGGTGGCCCTGGCGGGTAGGCGTGCATAGCACCTGCAAGGCAGTGACTATTTGAGACAAGTCTAATGATTAATCAGTGACTTCAATTTAAGCATTGATGAGAACTCTGTTAAAGCTTTTAAGTTGCGAGGGAGTACTACGCACATCTTAATTAATCATGTGCATATCAAACATCTACTCCCTCCGTCCCATAATATAAAAGCGTTTTTGACTCTAGAGTAGTGTTAAAAAAACGTTCTTATATTATGGGACGGGTGAGTAGTTAATTCTATTGTTCACAAAAATCAGCCATTATAGCAAGCAAACCAAAACCGCTGGTCAGTTTGACTTTCAATATATAACCGCAAAGCAAAGAAAGGGGATGATATTGAAGGTGAGATCGATCAACCTCTTTTTGGCAAAACGCTCTTAACAACACGAACATTTGTCTACACATGCATAAACTAAAAAAATAAGCAAGATAAAAATTCATGCGCTGCATGCATAGGCACCGACCCATGAAACAGGAGAATACCTGCGGCAGACTAGTTTGTTCTCATTGTACTTTTGAGCAAGGATGCGGAGGTTGGGCTCAAGGTTCTTGGGGTATCCACCTCTGCTGCCGCCGCGGAGGCGCAGCACCAGGTGAAGCGTGGATTCCTTTTGGATGTTGTAGTCGGCCAGAGTGCGGCCATCCTCAAGCTGCTTCCCTGCAAAGATGAGGCGCTGCTGGTCCGGCGGGATACCTACAGAAAAACAGAAACTTCCACAATTAGTCCTTCCCTGAAGTACATCCAGAGAGAGATGATAAACCAATCTGGTCCATGTACGTCCTACCGCAGGTTACCACAGAAGAACAAACAAGCCGATCCAAACCTATCTAACCTCGGATAAGTAGAAAAGTCTTTATCTAGCTCAAAGAGAGACATCACACACGTCGATCTGCTCTGTTTCAGACCGTGATTGTCGAACAAGACAACATGGAGGATTCTAGCTATGAACTAATTAAATTCAACAAGCGTACCAAGACCATATTAGTAGCGAGGTGCGCATGGTAAGACAAACTAGGCGGGTTTTAAAGCAACTAGAGTATGCAAGATCCGATGCAACGCTGCTGAAGACGTACGATCAGCCGTCGACTAGACGGAAGAGATGGCGTAGTGATTCGTCGTTCACGTATATGTACCTTCCTTGTCCTGGATCTTTGCCTTGACGTTGTCGATGGTGTCTGAGGACTCCACCTCAAGCGTGATGGTCTTCCCGGTCAGCGTCTTCACGAAGATCTGCATCTTGCCGTGTCGTGGATGGCTCTCGTTCTCCTCTGGACGGGTTGTGCTTGGTGTTGGTATCGACTGCTGCATGCGTGATGTCCTTATATAGGCAGGAAGCCGAGAGAGGCAACGGGGTCGCTACGGAAAGCCCCATAACCCTAGCTTGCAAAGGTAGAAACGGGAGGCGTGGCCGCCAAGAAGATCGCGACTCGGTCGGGGCAGCGGTTCTGGGCTTCTGGACGGCCCTATGCTGTCCATAACTAAACCTTGCACGCTTGTTGAACCGATCCTTTCGGACAAATGGCCCAGAAGGCCATATTTCGGGATTTTAGTCTTGCAATTGATTTATTTTCACGTTTGCTATTCTTTCAGGTTTCAGGCAACAGTCGATTCTGTGTGAGGCGCAAAGCACAAACAGGGGACGATGAGGTTGGCCGCAACATCACTGATGGCGGTGAGGTGGAGCTTAACGGGTGCGGGTATGA